CGTCAGCATTTTAATTGCAATTTGCAAATTTACCGCCCACATTTAGTGTAGGAATTGGAGAGCATATTAACTGAAATTTATTACAGAGTTGTAAATAATAATATGCGGAGCATTTGGCGCATCATTCAGCTCTTAATTACTTTCAATTAATGCATTAAACATACAGACAAGTACACATACTCACGTACAAGACGTGACTAAGCTCTGGGTTAAGAGGCTTTAGGTAGTTTCTTGAGTGTGTTGCAGCTTAATTGAAACTCATATAAATCAATTAAGTCGCTCATTGCTTCTCATGCAACAGCTTCTCTTATTTGCTTGTGATTTTTATTGCCAAGTTAGGTTGCTGCCATGTTTGGGGTATGGCTTAAAGCAAAGTTGCAGCTGACACCAAGCAAATTAATTAAGACACTATCGACTTTTGGCCAATATAGAGCACGGCTTTCACATGTGGCAAATCCGATTTAACTCCACGACATCAGTAGCAGCAGCAGCAGCAGCAGCAGTAACAAATTGTTGTCGCCACTCTTTCATTTTTTGGTCACCCGCATCAAATGCAAATTGTACATGCGGAAACGGAAGACGATGTCCTCGACATGTTCACGCATCATTTTGTTGCACATTACCATCGCATAGTTTTTTCATTCTTGTTGCATGCTTGTGGAAAATTGTAAGCATTTTGCGCTTGAAGCAAATAAAAGTGTTGCCTTGCAAACAAACTTTATTTGTATATATTTATTTATTTTTTTATGTTATTGCTTTATTTACTTATTTATTTGTATGTGTATATGCTAAACACCCTTGAAGACCGGAGTTAAACTGCCGTTTGAACCAAAATAATGTTGGAATATTTGCAATGCATGTGACGATGATTTTCAATTATTTATTATTCTTGACCTTGTGGAGACAGAGTTCTTTTCTTATTTTATTTTTACTTTTTAATTGCCTTGCAGTCCATGAATGTGTTCTGGTGTTTGCAAAGCAGGGCTGATAAAAAGCCGTAGCTAATTGGTAGTCACTAGATGTTTGACATTTCCGAGCACATCCGACTGCCAGGACTTGGTCGCAACGAAACGAAACGAAACAATTAATTTCAACAACTGCCAGCTGCAAAGTTGCTCAGGGAAAACAAAGAGGCGACTGCAAGGTGCGGGGTGTAGAGCAATCTTACCAAAGCGTGTAACCACCAAATGTCAACAAGCATTAAATTAAAATACAGTAAATACTTATACACAATTACTATGTAGCGAAAGTGGGTCAGGAGGCAGGACGCAGGCAGACAGTGTGGCAAGTATTTGCCATAAGCTAAAAATATCAGCAAATGGCAGCCGCAGAGATTTTGCTCGCTCAACGGTGCGTATGAACAACAGCTGCCTTATGGTTTGCTCTTCCTGTGCCAAATTTCCCATTCCCCATTCCCCAATCTCCCATTTTTGCGGCACACATTTGCATTTTTCCTTGTGTCGGTGGCTCGTTAAGCTCCTCAGACATGCAGTGAATAGCTTAACTCATCCCTTGCCTCATAACTGTTTGTTGCGTATGGCACATGTTGCGTCTTGAAAAATATGTTTATTATTTATAATAATTATATATTGGGCAATTTCTTCTTGTTGCCACTTGTTAAGTGTCTGATTGGGGAGCATTGGATGTTATTGTGCAGTGGTGTGGAAAATATTTGGTTAGACAGATAATTAAACTTGGAATTTATGCATGCTGATGTGATTATGTGATTATGTGATTATAATTGCAAATCTTTTCATATGAAAGCCCTTAATTTTTATAATCTAATACAAAATGCTTCTTTCAAAAGTTGGCATGCCTTTAAGGCAAATGACACAACTCTAATTAGGGAATAGCTTTTTCAATTTCGAAAGTTCAAAGCTAGTCTGATATAAAATAAAATAAAATATTGAGTGCAATTTATTTTTAAAATCTTTAAATTGTGCATCGTTTTATTGTTTTTATTTCTTAAAGTCGTACATCAATCTATCAGAAACAAGTGAGAATGTTGCAGTCTTTTAAAGTTTGGTAACTCTAGCCCTAAAGTTCCGAGAGATATAAGTCTTTGTGATTGTGGAAAAATTCTCCGCATTCTTAGTACTTAATTACCAGTAATATAACTTTTTAATTTGATGATTTGTGTGATTTTGTGGATACTGGTATCGAGACTCTGCTTTTTAAATTGTGGGAGATATATGGTTTTATCGATTTGCGATTATCGGTTTCCTAGACTCACACAGGACGTAGCACCCAAAATGGTTTCAGAATATAGAAAATTTGTATCGCAAATTTTAAAATTTTAATTTTGAAAAATTGTGAATGTTTTACATTTTGCAGTGAGTTGTTAATATAAACGAATTATGTAGGCTTATTTCTTTTATTATTTCAATGTGTTGTCTCTTTGGCAGTTTTCTCGCATGCGACATTTCCACCGCCAGCTAAAATAGCAGACAGGTTCATGTCTAGAGTAATGTTGGAAACATAAACTTCTCAGCATGTTAGTCCAATGTTAGCCGCATGTTAATACATCAAGTTAAATAGCCTCTCTCTTATTGGGGGGAGTTACGCAGATTGCAAGCATAAACCGACAGGAGACCCACATCATGTTGACCTGAGGCTGACTGCAGATTTGTGTAGCTGAAGCAAATGCATTGCTTAACCACAGGCCAAAGCAAACAATGAGCGAACGCATCAAGCAGGCAGCCTTGCGCTGGGTCGACCTGGTTTCTCAATCAATATGTCAACCATTAGGCAAATAGTAAATGATAAACAGACGCCCAAAAGGCTACTGCACAGAAATTACCGGGTACCAAAGAGCAGCAGCCGCAGCACGAGAGAGAGAAAGAGAGAGAGAGAAAGAGGGAGGGAGAGAATAAATGAGCGAGAGAGCTCTGAAAGCTGAGAGCGTGTCTGCAAACTTTACAGAACACTGTTAAATTGCTCGCTCTGCTATAAAAACTGTGCGCGCCCAAAAGTATGATGCGAATTTATATTTTCAGCCTTTGTTCCGACAGATTGGCGACTTAAATTGTTCGCTGCGAAATTATTTTGGAGTATTTAACTGGCTTAAAGCAAAAATCATGCCCTTATTTATATGAGCGACTGCTTGGAATGGCGCCTGTAACCGAGAAATAACTGCAGCTTGTTAGCGTGGCTTGCGAATTTGAAATGCTGAAATGCTGCTCATTAAATGCCATCTAGCTTGCCATTAAACATGTCACAGTGCAACCGATTTAGATCTCCAGCCAGTCTTAACGAACTGTTAAATCATGTTTTTTTTTCATTTATTTTTTGTACAATTCTCGCGCAACACTTGACAGGGCTAATGCAAAGCGGCTAAAAGTAGGTGTTAGATGCTCTGTAACGCCTATTGACTGTCAGTCAATTTGCGAATTACTATTTCACCTGCCTAAGGGTCATTCGTTGTCCGTTGTGCTGTCTGTCGTGTACCTTTTTTATTTGGCTTTCTCTCAAGTGGGCGGCCTAAATTCAAAATGAAAAGCTCAGCGTACAAGCCAATAAGAATGAAAGGTTGCCTTTTGGGCCCAAACGCTGATAGCATCGAAGTTAATATACACTTGAAACTTGTTCTTTGTTTTTTTCTTTTTCTTATTTTTATATAAGTTTCGGATTTGAATTGTGAGCGAAAATAAACAACCTTTTAAGTCACATAAATAATTTATTTATTATTGTCGCGCAAGTTGAAATAATTATATTTGCTTTGTTTGGGGTCTAAGAGTGAATCAAAGTGTTGAGACACCTGCACTTGTAAGGGCATATAAAAGGTCAATGGGCTTAGAGAATACAGAATCAATCATGATGGCCGGGACAAGACCCTCGGGGCTAGATTAAATGTAAGCGAATCGCTGAGGGCTCAAAATAAAATGGAAATCGTTGAGAATTGCCTCCGGCTCGGCAAGTGCTAGCTGAATGGGAAAGTTTAATTTGCCCTGAAATTGCAAAAACCGAAAAGAAAAAAAAAAATAAAACAATTCATTGCAACATCATCAAGTAAAACAGGAATGGCAGCAAGCCTGAAATTGGAGCATTATTCACTTTTATATATATTTACACAAATTGCATGCACTTATTTGCATGGCTTAATAGGTTGTTATGATTATAATGACCAGAAAATATCCGTTCAATGTGGAGTACCTCATATGCATCATGAACTATCAATGGTTCCAGAAATATTATATGTGATTTACCATGTACTATTTTATACACAAACAAAACAAAATATTAATGATTGTGATGTTTTAGTACCAGATGATTTAAGTGGGTGTTTATGAAAACAGCAAATCAATTATGAAGGAAATGCGTTTTAAATTTATTTAATTTACTGTAAAACTGAATTGTTTGAAAAGATAAATATACTTTTTGCTTGCTATGGGTCAAGGGATTTATTCATTTTTATATAATTCGACACATTTCGAAATTTGATTCGTCTTCAGGTAGAGATTCACAGTTTTTGTTATTCACTTTTCTTAAAATTTTATTGAATTTGAACAGTCTTCAAAAAAATGAATTATTATTCAATTTAAAAAGTCTTTAAAATTTCCTAATCTATGCATACTTCTATGCCGGACTCTACTTGGAGAAACTGTAGAACCCAAACTAGTTGCCCAATTTTCCAATGTGCATTCCTACTCTATGAAAATTTCTCAATCAGATTCAATTCACAAAATGCTTACCTCCAAATTTCGGTTATTACAACGCTTTTTAGGCTGAGACCCCACTGTGCGTCGTGTTATTTCTCCACCCTTAGTAAATCACTCTCCTCGTTTAAATGAGCTTATTGACTATTGCACGCAGAAAAACTTTCATCTCATTCAGAAGGCTTTATCAACAACTTTTTGCGTGCAGTCTTTAATTAATTTTTAAGCATGACAAACAAAAGAAAGTCCTAATTTATCGATAATTTAAATATTTAAAGGAAGTGCCCGGTTCTGTCTGCAATTGAAAATAAGTTTAAAGCTGATTTAGCAAACAAGCTTTTTCGCTTATGTTTCACGCATGTCGATTGATTTCTTTGTTTAATTAACATTTTAATTGTATTGACAAATTTTCCTTTACAAAGATTGCGACTCTCAAATGTACTCTGACAAAGTACCAACGTCGCTAGAAGGTTCGATTTGCAGATTAAAAGAGTTAGGACTCCACGATTGTATAGTTATTTTTTGTTATCTTCGGTAGAGATGAGTCCGGATCCATAGAGAGAATCCTTTTCAGCAATTGCATGGTCGGCCTCCTGGTTGGATCTTTATCCCAACACGTTTTAATCAAGAAAATTATCGTCTCTCGATTTGGAAATTTTTTAACTTGATCCAAATCTGGTCGTTCATCTGCAGAGGTAAATATTTTGTTACACAACTCTTGCGATATTTTCTACGCTTTCTTACCTTTGTTACAGATTAAATTTAGAATAGTGAGATATTCCTGGTTTCCCAAATGATTGTAAGGCTCCTGCTTTGAAAAAACCTGCCAGAGAATTATGGCAAAGCTATAAACATCGCACTTCTCCGTATATTTCTTTCCTTCAAAAACCTACGATTGGAGGAGGAAAGGTGTACAGTAGTAACTCGTATTATGAATTGTATTATGTTAAAAATACGAACTTCAGGCGCTGTATAAATGGCGGTGCCTGGCGCTGTTGTCATTTTTGAAGCCAATTCTCGAACAGTGCCAAAATCACATATCTTTAATGTCCGATAGTTGTTGGTAAGTAGAAGGTTTTGTGGCTTTAGATCGCGATGAATAACTGGTGGGCTTAAACCATGCATATAAGCAACAGCCTAGAAATGTAAACAGTAAATGCAACAAGAACTAAAGCTACAACTAACACAGTACCTCCGCCAATTGTAACATCCAATGGTGAATTCCGAAATACGACACTGTAATCTCTCCCGTTCTCATGCATTTAGATAGGGATCCACAGTCTGCATACTCCATGATAATGTATGGTTTAGAGTCCGTATCCTTGGCAACTCCATATAATTTAATGATATTCGGATGCTTGACGCGACGTAGATTTTTGAGTTCTTTCTTAAATTCCTTTATTACAGTTTCATCGGTCCCTTTGAAATACTTAACCGCAATATTCATATTTCTTTTTTTCCAATACAGTTTATAAACTTGGCCATAGCTTCCACTGCCTAGGGACTGAATATGATCTATTTAGCTTAACATACGAATTTCAAGATTAAAATGCCAGATTTATATTTGATTCATTCCCCATCAGCCCAACTTCCAAAATAAACCCAAAGATTCCTCCTGGATAGTTCTTTACTTTTAATCAACAAATGCAATTTTGCGCAATTGGTCAAGACACATTTGTGTAGATTAGGATAAAACAATGATTAGATTAGCAAGGGCAACTCAATATATCCAGATATTACAATTTTAATTTTACTCTTACTTTCTTGTTATCCATAGAAAATTCACTTCCATTTAATTCGATTTCAGCTAAATCATTTGGCGAGAACATTTCGTCAGACATTTTTCTTATTAAAAGCACCGAAAATTTTTTTTTTTGTATGAATCATCAATTATAAAATGTATTTGATAAGAGGAGCTTGAACCAAACGCGTAAACCAATTAGAGGCAGGCACAAAAGAATACTGATATGATTTCATATTTGATATAGTGATCGCAACCATCGATAACTAAATTAAGTTGCAACTCGTCAATCTATCGGTATATCGTAGAGGAGCGCTACGAATTAATTTGTTTCCGATTAATTAATTCATTAAATTGTTGTCTCTCAGCAGAACTTTTTCGTCGATCTATTAACTGGGCATATGCCATCCGTTTTTTTGCGTATGGTGGCTTTCAATATTGATAACTATTTTTTTAATCTGTAAAGTGGGCTTTATTCTAGTTATTATGAGGCGTATTAAAGACTGACTCTTACTTCATGAAAATAGCTTAAACATAGCATCGAAGAAGGTCTTGATCATAAGGAACGTACAATTATGCGCTCCTTCAGGCAGTTCAGATCTTCCTTGCTTGTTCTGGCCACAATAAGATCGTCGACATATACGACTATCACATTCAGTTTGCTGGCTTCACGACGTATGTACAAACATGGCTCGCTGGGGCAGGGAGTGAAACCATGCCTGATTAGCACGGTGTTTTGTTTCTCGTTCAACTCACGACCGCTCTGTTTAAGGCCGTACGGCGACTTCTTGAGTCTTAGGACTCGGTTAGGGTAATCTTGTTTAGCAAATCCCTCTGGTTGTCGCATAGAAACCACATCTCTCAGCTCACTGTTGAGATAAGCAGAAGACACGTCAATCTGATGCATATACATACCCTTTTCTACCGCTAGAGCAATCAGTAATCTGATTGTCGAATATCTGGCCACAGGGGAGAACGTCTCATTGTAATTTACGCCATATTGTTGGGCGCATCCTTTGGCCAATAGTCGAGATTTCAAGCGTACTACTTTGCCATGTTCGTCACGCTTCACTGTAAATACCCACTTACAGTCAATTGCCTTCTCTCCCTTCGGTAGATCAATCAACTCCCAAGTTTTGTTTTCTTGTAGACTGTCTATCTCCTTCTGCATCGATGCCCTCCATTCACTGGCATGATCAGAACTCAAGGCTGCATTAACGCTAGCAGGTGCAGCTACGTCATCCGTTGTCATAACATTCAAAATGTTGTACTGCTTTCGAGGGCGTCCTGGCTGCCCGGTGCGTACTTTCTTTGGCCTTCCAGGACCTCTTTTGCCCGGTGCCTCGCACGACTCGATTTCCTCGTCGTCACCAATGTCTCCATCTGTAGATATATTTGGCACCTCGTCATCTCGTTCGGAAATCTCGCGATCCCCAGTTTGATCGCCACTATGAAGACTTACAGGCTCATCTTCGATATTCTTCATGATCAGTGTAACATCATTATTACACAACGAGATTCGTTCCTTTACGCTGTCATCTGTCATTTCACCTTCAAGAAATATCACATCTCTTGCTTCGATTACTTTTCGTGAATCGGGATTATACAATCGGTATGCCTTATCTGTTTCAGAGTAACCAACTAGTACTCTCACCTCACCTTCTGGTAGGAATTTCTTATGTATATATATATATACTGCAGAGTTGCCTGTTTTTGCTTTTATGGGCGCATATATTTTATAGTAGTTTTTTAGGCTGCATGAGCTAATGAAACATTTTTTGTTATTATGCAAATGCTTCTTAGTTGACTGGCTAATTACATTTGTATATCTCTCGGTTTGTTTGGCCATGGCACCCCAAAGTATGCAAAAGTTATTTAAAGCTGCTTTAACGCCAAGTTGCGTCCCCCATCCCACTTAACAAACATTTGCCCAAATGACGCGACGTGCGACGGGGTGTTGGCTATGAATGTAAGTTCTTCGCTGACACACATCTTGTTGTTGTTGTCATTTTTGTTTTTGGATGCAGTTTGCAGTTTCCCCCTGAGAGGGGACTGTACTGAAGTGCTTGAGAGTCTCGGCAAGCATTTGCTCTAGACTGGCGACAGGAGAGAAGTGCCTAAAAGCCCACACACTCCCATATGCGACTGTGTGTTCTTGAAATTGTGTTTGATTTAAATTCGTCCATCCGCGGTGCAAGGCAAATTTAATTTCAATCATTACGGCAACTAAACTCAACAGTAGAACTTTCATATAAGAATTTCATGTTCAAACTAAAACAAATTCAACTGTTACCATTTTCTACCAAAAACAAAAAGATATCGGATGTGCAATGGTTTACGTTCAATATGCAGTTGAATGCAGTTATACTCCAATTAAATAAACTAGTCATTCTCTGGTTTGACGATGAAAATCTACCATGAATGGGAAAAACGATGGCATTCTAAGTTTTTGGCTAATTCTGAGTTTTATTGTTAGCTATAGTAGCCTAAAGCTAAACTGGGTATATATAGTAGCGACCTGTGCAGGTTTTGTGAAAGACAGGAGGAATCCTCGATGCACATCCTGGCAGAGTGTGTCGCCTTAGCTAGAAGAAGAAGCAGCCTCCTAGGGGCGCATGTTTTGAAGTGCAAAGACATAAAAGACCTCAACTCAACAAAGATCCTCGTATTCGTGCTGGAGTTGGGGCTGATGGAAGAGCTATAAGTTCAGAAGGGGGCACAATAGATCAAATTGGTCGCGGTGCAGTTTCCCCCCCTAATAAAAATAATAATAATAACCTAAAGCTACGAAAATAGCTATCTTGGGCTAAACATGATATATCCTTGCATTTAAAAAACCAAACGATTATCTCCATGCTGGCTATATATAACTATAGTCCGATATTAATATTTAATATTTGTTGGTTAAAAATGGCATTAAATGTTGGATATGGTCCACGATTCACCTTTAAGGCTGTAAGTCCGCGGGACTAGTTAAGATACATGCAGATATATGAAATATAATCTTTTAAAGGGTATTTGTAGTCGCTGTTTTTTCTGCGAGTTCTTTCCTCGAACCAGTTTCAGAACTTTATACTCCAGTAGTCTGTCTGGCCGAAAGACTGCAGCAGTTTTTCAATGCCAATGAAAGAGCTAATGTTAATGTGGTTTCCACTTCCGGTATCCACTGGCGCCTTGTAGATCGATAACACATTCGATAACACGAGAGCTGCCGAATGTTGGCTGTAATCTTTTTCAAAGATTGGCAAAAAAATTTGATGTCACTTATTTTAGTGCTTTCGGAACTTGTTTTTCAAAAGCTCATCTAAATGTACAATATTGAACACTACATTCTTCGTAATGTTGTTTGCCACTTTGAGCTGATGAAAACCGATAATATATATATATATATCGATAGGTCGTTATATAGGTCCATCGATATATCGATAGAATTTAGATACTCTCTGACATATCGGTTTGTGGTTTAAATGATAAATTTAAAAATATTTTCCGCATTAAAATTGCATCGTATTGAGCAGAAATATATATCGGGAACTTGTTGAGCTGAATATGAGTATAATCCTTCAACGGATATTTTTTGCAGTGCTGCGACAATCAGGCAGAGCTGTGTGTGTGTGTTTGGACGGGAAGCTGTTCGAATTTTATGGGTCCCTTAATTGGCGCCAACGAGGCCACGCCTTGCTGCCCAGTTCGATGCTTTGGCCATTGATTGATATGCCACGCCTCCCCATCGCCAGCCCACATTATTGAAGCGAGATTTGTCAGCAAGGTCAGCAGCAGCAGCTCATTTCTCATGGGGTTGGCCAAAAATCGACGGTCAGGTCAGGGCCAAAAGTAGGAGGAGGCAATTGGGCACGCTGCGGACTGTTTTCAGCAATTTGACCAGCTTTGTCCAGTAAATACATACAGTTTTTGAGCGGGTCGCAGTCACATAGTAAATCATCATCAGCGACAGCTGTCGCTGCAATTTGCAGCTGTGAAAGCATTTTCGCAGCACTCGCTTTTGGCTGATTGATGGCTGACTGAAGTCAGAATCAAGTTTGTATTGCCTACTTGTGGGGTACTTAATGCTATTATTGCTGTCATGCATGCTTTCACATTGCTATTGTGGTTCTTGTTGTTCTTGTTGTTACTGTTGTTGTTATTGTGGTTGTTGCGAGTATTAAAGATGTCAATTGATTGTTTGCCTGCCTCCAGGCAGCCTCCATTTTCCAAGCAAATCGCCTTAAAAAATGCAATTCATTGTTCTGTGCTTGCAGCCGGCAGCTGGCAGCTGGCAACTTGGGAAAAAACCGGAAGAATAACAACAGCAATAATTTCCTAAATGGCTTCTGTTCGTGCTCTGCTCAATTCACTTTATGGCATCATTCAATGGGGTATACTCTCAATGCGTCTGGTAATGTAAACAATTAATGTCGAATTGTTCAGTCATCGATTTCTGTCTCTTCAGTATCGCTCGTCTCATAAGCAAAAATATAGAAAGCATATTTTGGCCATATATCGGAGATCTAAAGGATATCAGATTCAATTGTTGATGAACTAGTCCAACTAAGTACATTTTCTGACGAGTTGTAATAATTAAAAAAATCAATTCAATTAAATATTTATTGATATTGCTATTCTTAGAAATAAAAACACAATTTTTTAAGCAGGATTTTAAGGGTTTCTACTTTGGTATCACATTGAACAACTATATTTGTAAAATTCATCAAGATTGTTTCAAAATATGATACTAATCTCAGCTTATATTTTTCCATAGGGTGCTGAAACGTCATATCAATAAATTTTCGCAAACAATTCACAGAACTTGCCAAATTAGAATTCCTCGAGAGTTAGAATCTGCTTTGGAGCCGAAACGCTCAATTTAATCCAGAAACTGCTGTGCTGTGGCTATAATTCCTAATAGTTTATCTCTGCGTCTGTTTGTATTGTGTGTTTAACTGTTGGTTTATTGCTGGCCATAAACTTGCGACTTTAAGTAGCCATCATGTATGGGAGCTCTTTGGACAGAAGCATAAAGGGAAACCGGTTCTGAAAAGCAGATGTATTTTTTACTAGAGTCTAAAAACAGTGCGCGAAACGATTGGATAGATACAATTTGTATTTTGGTTCAAGGATTGCTAAAATCTGACTTAGTCCATTAGTAGTTTGAAAAGTTTCCTACAAATTCAGCCTAAAAATAGCACGCAGTGAATTTAAAACGTCGGCCAACAAAATG